GTGATAAAATAAACTCTTAAAAAAAGGAATTGTGATTGGGGTTTTTTCCCCATATATATATACATATATATATATATATATATATATATATATATGTATATATATATGGGGAAAAAACCCCAATCACAATTCCTTTTTTTAAGAGTTTATTTTATCACTATTTAGCATTATTACTATTACAGGGTTACATGGGTCTTTGAAACGGAACAGGCCTGTAGCATCACAGATCCTCCACCATGCTAATTCTTTGTTTTGAAAAGAAAGAGATAAAGAAAAACAACACATAGAAAAAAAATCAATAACCTGTAATTTTGATTGCATAAGTGATCCTTTGTTTATCACATTTCCAAAACAACAGGTCCGTGTTAAAGTCCATATACATTCCAGCTAACTCCACATTTTCCTTACTTTACTCTCAAATAGTGAATAAATAAAGCATCCAGAGCTTGTTTTCAACATTTACAGTAGGGACCCAAAGTTGTCTTTCTTTGGAGATGTTCTCTATCAGTGACCTTTTTTTATTATTGTCCTGCTATGTGTTTATTAGTGCCAGGATAAACTTGGTTCGTCTCACAACCTTGTTTCTGACAGTTCCAGTCATAAAGCTTTAATTCATACTTTTACTTCCATCATTTCAGCTCTACATATCTGCTAGTTCTGAGAAGCAGGGATGATTTAGTCAATTTCTAATTTAAGGGGCAATTCTGTGATTTCTATAAGAAAGCGGATAAAGAGAAATTATTACACAAAATAATTATCAAATAAATAATCCACTTCTGGAAAACAGCACTTCTTTAATCTTTAATCTTTCACTGCTTTAAAAAAAGCAGGAAGTTTTAAATTAATCCTTTAGTTTATCATCTGATCTAAATTTTCCAGATTATTGGTATAACAGAACAATATCTAAGTTGAATAATGATACTTTTCCTACACTGACTGCATAAAGTTAAACTAAAGGGAGGATTTTTCTAAATGTTTCTGTTATAGAGGAGCTGTCAATAAATAGGGAGGGCGTTGTACAAGCTGTACCATCCAGAAGCTATTTAAGTGCTTCAGCTGCTACATTACTGGTGTTTAAGGTGATTTATTCACCTTTGCCTGACATATAACAGTCTCATATTTAATTTCATGGGTAACATGATATAGCTTTTACATCATAAATGTTTTGCTCATGTCTGCTCACCTGTAGAGTTTATTTGTTTTAAATTTGAGCCTATATTCTCTTGTAATAAGTTTCCATACTAAGTGCCACTATGGAGTCCATTAACAGTGACATTAGACATTTTAGAGAAAAGAAAAACTCTTTATTGTGCTGCTGGATAATGATCCCACAGTATTTGCTCTGTGGGATATGGATTGATTATTTGCTCATATAATCGTTTGTGGTCAGTGGACACCTGCCCCCTCACTGGGCATCAACAATGCAACAGATGGCAGCGATACATGATGACATAATGAGGCCCAAACCAAGCAGCAGAACTAGTTTGTCAATAAGTCTTTGTGTATTTTATTTTATTTTTTGTAATGGATTTATGCACAAAGCCAAAATGTGTTCAGTGAGATCATGTTTGGTTCAGCCTGGAAGAAAAACCTTATTACAGAAAGTAGAGGCTTGAGTTGTTGGTAATTGTTCAGGATCAGATCAGATCATGTTGGACTTTTGTTTATCATTTGGCGCCCCCTACTGGTCAAACCGTCCTCTAACTACGGGGTAAGGAATCATTTTTCTTATTAAGTCATTTGGCCCTAACTAAGATTAGATATTGAAGGTATTCATGCTAATTGTGTTTCTCTACGAACATATGATAAGTTTCTTTTCCACAATACTTTGAAAGATAACATTTATTTTATTTATTCTAAGCAGAGCAGGTGTAAAGTAAATGGATGCATAGATTTTAAATAATGTAACAAAAATGGTTTCTTGTTTGCGTAAGGGTCTGGTGAAAAAAAGTTTTTTGTAAAAGTTTTATTGGGAAATCATCAAAAGAGCCCAAATACCTCTCATTGCAAATGTGCAAAGAATTTAAAGCACGGCTTGAAACAGTATCTGAATGTTCATGAACTTTGACCTGTTGAGTGTATCAGTTACCCACAGCATGAAAAATACTTAGAAACTAAACTGTATTAGAACAGAATGTGCTGAAAGTTCTCAGACAGAGAGTGCAGTTTGAATTTAAACAGAAATGGTAAAATG